TAATAATCTCAAATGAGGTAAATGGATAATAATGTTTTATTTTTGCATACGAACTTTACACAACTTGCCAGGTACAAAGAGTATAGTAGATATTATTAGGTTTATTTTTTATCAGGGACCGTAAATACCTCGTCTCTTTACACGGGGAAGACGAGCTAATGTTGCGTCTCCTATGCATGCAATATTGGATTCCGAGGGTGAAAAATATGATAAGGTCCATCATTCACAATTGCAAAGTCTGCACGATCTACAAGAAACGGTCGCAAACCCCACTTATGGGAATCCTTCCCAAACAACGCACAACCTTTTCCCGTGCATACACAAATACGGGTGTGGATTTCGCAGTCCCCTTTGACATCAAGTGCTACTAGGGAAGAGGATGTTGGATGTCAAAAGGCTTTGATTGGTCTTTCGTCTGCTCCTCGACGAAAGCTTTTTACCTCGAAGCGTTTACTCCGACAATCGTACTAGCTTTAACGGAGCTTCACGATATCTACGATGAGAATTCCAAGGCACGCAATAGTATTTTCACTAAATATAACCATCAAACCTTAACTGCATTTCATACCCGCTGCGGCTCCTCACATGGGCGGTTTCTGGGAAGCAGAGGTAAAAATTTTCAAAACCCACTTCGAAATGGTCAAGTTCGATGATAAATATACTTTTAAAGAGTTTAACACTCTTGTGTGCCGTCGTATTGAGCCTTGCCTCAAATAAAGAACACTAAGTCCCTCTTCAAACGAACCGTCCGACCTGGAGCCGCTTAGTCCAGGCCATTTCCTAGTTGGCAGTCATCTTCTTGCTCCACCCGAAACCAACGTAAATGAAAATCCTGCATCGATCATAAAACGATAGCAGGAACTAAATGTCCTACATCAGACATTTTTTAGGAGATGGAAAATGGAATATCTCAACGAAATGCAGAAACGCATCAAGTGGGAATATCCACACACCAACTCAAAGCAAGGTGACTTGGTCGTTGTTATAGAGGAAAATCTACCACCTAACGAATGGAGATTGGGGAGAATCGTCAAACTATATCCAGGTTCCGACAGCCGGATAAGATAAGTCGACATCGATAGAGCTAAGGGAGAAATCCCTACACCGTTTGCAAAATTGGCCCTACTTCCTCCCAGCGAAAGCAGACCAATCTTTCTGTAAACTCTCCCTACTCTTCTCTACGGCTTACGGGATCCCACATCTCAAGTGGCAATTACTGCAGCTGCCGAATCTACGATGCGAGTAGCTTCGAGAGCGCATATCTGATGCATACGTACCTAAGTAATACAAAATATTCATATGATTCCGTCACACCGAAAGTTATGTATGTATTTTTAGTATAACCACCAGTCAAGTCAAAACTCGATAGCGCTACTACCTGTCATTATTAAGATGAATATTGGAATACACCATTATTCAATATCCGTATCACCGAAAAATAATCAAATAGGCATTTGGCTTAAAGGCGATTAAATTAGGTAAAAAATAAGAGCGGCGACGGTTCCTACGCATGACATCCCGGGTTGACCTGGTTATGTGAAATCAATCTTCTCAGATCCTTAACGTCAAAACAAAATAAACAAATGCTCACATCTCCTTAGAGGCAAAAGCTTGAAGGAGGTAACGGTGAAATTCTACTCGGATAAGTCCCCGATGCTAGAAAATGCATTGCTATATCAGATTTAAAAAGTTGCACGACAATGAGACCCTTTATCTAAAATCTTATAAGCAAACGTGTGATGGATGTCGATTTGCTTAGTTGGACTCCTTTCCGCACTTATAAAAACCGTGAAAATTTTGGTCAATAGTTGAATTTCCAAGTCTTCGGCTATGCTGACAAAGTCCAATCAGTTAGATTTCCATCTCCTATGTAGTATCGTTGATAAGATTCTTTATACGATTTTGGAATGTCGTATGAGGCGTAAGCAGCCGGACCACCAATCTTCGGTCAAATGTCCCTTAACGTACCCCGTCTCTGTCACGGCATAGTTTTCAGATCACATTCTGGTCTGTCAGCATTTCAAGCTCTACGCACTTACGCTGTCTACAAATCTCGTTATCGTCTGTTAGGTGACTTTGTTTGCTGCATATTTCTCTCAAACAGCGGATCGGAACTCTACGTCATAAGAACTGTTTCAGGAGCGCGTAGTGGTCTGAATAGAGAATCTAGCGGGACAAAACTATTTGAACAGGTTCGCGTTGATGCATTTGTGCACCATTTCTATCCACTAGCTTATGGGACCGCTGTTTACAAATCTTCAGTCAGGTTTCAAAAATCCAATAAGGCGAACACATTTTTCCAAATTAAAAGAATTCATTCAAAACTTGTTACTCGGTTACTATTCTGAAAATTTAAAGCAATGGTAAAAGCGCGAAAAAAAAGTATATTTTATCTTAAAGCGAACACTTCACAGAATTCGTTTTTATAAATTTCAAGTCGGAACTCAGTGAAACAATTTATTTTTTTTCTATTTGGAAATGCAAATAAAATAATTTCATGTTCAACTTTTCACGTTGAACTTACGGAGTTATAAGAAAGTTATGTACTAAATTTAAAAATTTATGAAACAGTTTTTCTATTACCGATAATCACTTCTCTTCATGAAAAAAAAAAAAAATGTTTCAATAGATGCACCGTTACACTTTGAAAAGCAAATCGAAATAGTACAAAAGAAAACCCGTTTTCCTGATACAGCTAACTGAATTGCGTCGACTAGCCAAAATAATTGGCTTAATATTGTTTTTTTATTAGTGAAAGAGATCAAAGAACAAAATACGAATCACGGTTATCTAATTAGCCATGACATTTTGACGCAATTGGCATGACATTGATTTTTACATTTTGTTCCGCTAGTTTTATGAATCCGACCCGTGTGCAGCGTGAAGAATTAGTTGCCAACAATCTCAACATCGAAATATGATCACGAACAAAGGCGCGTGCTTACCTGCTTATCTGTAAAAAGATAGTGATCCGGGTAGAATGTATGCTAGGAATGCTCGAAGACTATCTTCGGCTCATCACTGCCTAGGTATGTTATCTATTTATTATTTTGCATCTTGATCAAAATCACCAAAGTATATGAATGTTTCGCTGCTGGTGTCTGGTAGTTATAAAACCAATGAGTTTTACAAAATCAATATTTGAATCACAAACTATTATATTACCATATTATAGCATTCTGCCAAGAACATAAATGTTACACAACATTTTAAATTAGCATTCTGTTATATATATGTATACGTATTTTTCTTTTACAGAAATCCGTTGAACAGTGGCGTATCGTATTCTTTTTGGCATCTTTCTTATACATATTGGGAAACACAATATTCCTGATTTTTGGCGAGATCGAAGTGCAGCCATGGAATGATCCCACAGATTAGTTGTGAATTGTATAAGAAATCATTTTCATTTATGCATATATGTATCTAAATGTACATATGCTTATGTATATACGTATTAACTGTGTAGCATTTTATATTTTAAGCAATTAAACACTTAAATTAGATAGGTGAAAATTATTGTTTTTTTTTTTGGTGTTGAATACGAAAATGAATCTTTGAAAAAGTTAAAATAACAACATCAAAATACTCACTGTTACGATTCTGTTGAAAAACATTTTAAATATTTTTAAAAATATATTTATGCAAATTTTTTAAGCTTAAATCGTTTAGTCATTTGAGGGAATTTTTTCCAAACAAATTTTTAAGAATCCATTTTTATTCATTAAAAAACTCAATTTTTTGAGGTATTTTCAAGTCCAGCTCAGGTAAACTTTAATATTTTCCCGATTTTGTTGGAAGTATTAAAATATAATAGATTTTATAATTCCAATGGAAACACAGCTCCGATTTTGTTTTTGTATGGGGATTGATGCAGTCTAATGTACAAACATACATATGTACATATGAATGCATAATACGCCGAAATTTTTCGTCATATCAGATCTGTAACGTTCGTTCAATTTTACAAAATAAGATCAAATTAAAGAGCTTGGCTTGCGGATGTGCAATAACTTCTTATTTTTCAAAAAGAGTTGCCACCTGATAAAAAAAATTAAATTAAAATAATTTTTTTGTTAAATCAATTATTACACTATGAACATCGATCGAGAATATAAGCTTTTCGAGATCATTTTATTTAAGCACTTATTTTGGGGAAAAAATTTACAAGATTTCGTGTAACTACTCCAAGCAAATTCAACATTTTTGGTGAAACATTTTTTTGCGTATCACTGAATAGCAATGGTTAGAAATAAAACAGGTGGGTCGGTCTTTAGGAAACGATAACTTTTTATTTTGTTCTTGATTCCTTTGTAAAATATACTTAGCAGCTTTTCATTCAAAGCTAGCGATATTTAATTTTGAGCGTACCGAAAAAACTTCCCCTTACAACCCGGAAATAAATTCTTTTTGCAAAGCAATTTTGAAGAAAAATTTGCCAAACGTAGGTACGCCTCTTTAAATTCTTCGTCAGATTTTCATCATTTACAATCGGACTTTAAAAATATCCGTTGCTACCGCCCTAGCCGTACCATCCTAGTGTCACTAAATTAAAGGTGGCAAAAAATCAGTACATTTCTGCTAAGGATATATTTTGATTTTTCCAGTGGAACTATTTCAAAAAATAAATCCGGTAGTACCGAATATAGGTGTCACCGAAAAATGTAAAAGAAGAACCCTAGGTTCGGCAAAAAAAAAAAATATTCGAAATTTCCTTGCAAAAATTCTTTGGATCCAGGGTTGTACGACGAACCTTTTTTGTTTGCCCGTATGATGGGACGGTCTAATGTGCATACATAGCACTTCATATCATGCGAGTTTGCTTAGCCATTACAAGTTTGCTTACATTCATCTAAGATCACAGCATTTTATTAAATTTATTTTGCGGCAGTACGTTTTTGTTCAATTTGATTTATTAAACATTAATGCGACTTTAAGTTTTCTGATAACTAACAGATAATGTAATGCAACAAAATGCATTCAGTTTTAAACAAACTTGCGTGCGGGCAGCACTAGAACCTTAAACCCAGTATGGTGCGAAATGATCTATCAACAGCTGAGAGAGAAAGTAAGTACTCTCATAAGTGGAGGATGCTATTTAACAGTGTCTTTTCTCTTACCTATTTTTTTTTTTTGTCTTTGCAGAATCTTCACTGGGCGTGCGGCATCTACAAAGTATGCTGATTTTCTTTGGGTTGTGTACGGTTTTTATGATGCGCGCCAATCTCTCCGTTGCAATTGTGGCTATGATGGATCGCAATTCAACAAATCCAGATTTTCCGGTGAGTGTGCGGCTTGCATGTTTTTTTTTTCTTCTTGTTTACTTCAACTTTTTCACACAACTCCAATTTTTTATGGTTCCAATAATGGATCTTCTTCACCGCAGGAGTATGCCTGGTCGGAGCAAACGAAGTCATTGCTGCTCAGTAGTTTCTTCTGGGGTTACTGCCTAACGCAAATACCTGGCGGTCAGCTATCGCAACGGTTTGGCGGCAAGGTGATGCTGCTCTTTAGCATTGGCATGTCGGGCTTTCTCGCTCTATTTACCCCGATCAGCGCGCGTTTGGGCGATTGGCAACTGATATGTGCTCTACGCTTTCTACAGGGTTTCTGTCAAGGCGTCATTTATCCCTCCACACATACGCTGCTGGCCAAATGGGCGCCACCAGCCGAACGTGGTGTACTCGCTACGCTATGCTTTTCCGGCTCACAATTCGGCACGATTATTATGCTAGCCATCAGCGGCACATTAGCTGCCTCGGCTTATGGCTGGCCGAGCATCTTCTATATGTCCGGTTGTTGCGGTGTGCTCTGGGCTTTTGTTTGGCTCATGTGGGGCGCTGATTCGCCACGAGCATCCAAATTGATTAGTTCAATCGAAAGGGACTACATTGAATCCGCTTTGGCGGCACTTTCAAAGCGTGAGAGTGATGCGATGGCATCGAAATCGCCAACGCCTTGGCTGCGCATTCTCACATCGGTGCCATTCTGGGTGCTGCTCATCGCATGCTGCGCCTACAATTGGGGCTATTGGACGCTGATGACACAAATACCTTCGTATATGAAGAGCGTACTAGGCAAGGATATCAAAAGCAATGCATTGCTGTCGGCGTTACCTTACACCGCAAATTTGCTGCTCGGCTTGGGATTTTGTGCTTTGGCGCAAGTGCTGGTGTCGAAACAGGTGCTCAGCACCAACGCTAGTCGCAAAATATTCAACACGATCGGTATGTGGCTACCTATGGTGGCGGCTGTTGCATTGGGTTTCGTTGACGCCGATCAAGCGAATTTGGCCGTAGTTCTACTGACAATAGCTGTTGGCGCAAATTCGGCAACATTTTT